AAGCTTCCCGGAGTTGCTTCTTTATTTCAGTTGCTATTATTTCAGGTATTTCACGTGTATGGCATATATTTTCTTCTATGTACATAGCTCCTAAGGTTTCTTGGGATGGGCTGGAGGTTTGAGGTTCTATTTTGGTCTTTCATTTTGTCATTTTCCTATATTTCCATGTTTCAAGTGTTATTCCAAGGCTTCCCCAGGGCCTGTTAGAAATCCTCTTTTATGTCCTCAGCTCCTGGGACTCTGGCCACCCAGTTCCCCAGATTGAGAAAGGGTCACTAGACTAAAGCCCTGCGGGACAGGGTAAGTGTGTCAGTGAGCTGTGAAGTTCCTTGGCTGGTGGGTGCAATGATCCCAAAATCCCGGGTTCAGGAAGGTGCAGGGACACTCACCTTAGGCTGCCCAGTTTCCATAATTGAGGGCGTAGGCAGGCCCAAATTCCTGGAGACCTCCAAGCATGGCAGGAAACCAGGAAGTTGATGCAGGCAGGCCCAAGACCTGCTGAGCTGGTCCAGTGCAGCAGGAAGCCATAGAATTCCCTGGAGGGGGGGGGCCAAGGATTTTAAACTCCTGGGGCTTGGGTGATGGTGTGGAGATACTCACCTCAGGCCACCCAGTCTCTGGAATTGAGGGCCCTAGGAGGCCCAGATCCTCAGAGTCCGCCGAGCAGGACAGGAAGCCCAGTCACACACTCTTAATCCCAGCATCACACACTCTAGATCTAGCCACCTCTGAAAAAACCCCAACTATGACTTCATGATGCTTAGGGGTACATATAGGCACAGGCCCTATTCTACACCGCTTTAAAAATTGAAAGTATCTGGTAATTGTCTCATACTTCATCCTACAAAATGCATCAGACCACAAATGTTGATATCTCCTACTAGCTCCATTCTCTTTTCTTACTGTAAAATTTCCCCTAATAGGGCCCATCCTTATTGCTGTCATCACGTTCTATCCATTTTCTCTGACATTTTGCATAGTCTAAATGTCTCTGAACACTTATTGCAGATTAGGGGGAATGTCTGGATGTCAGGTGCCACGTGGCTAAGACCTTCAGCTCTGCAGTAATTAAAAAAAATGCCTGCACAACTCTGGATTAAATGTGCTTTACCTGGGGCCATTCTGATAGCTTCTGTCCTGTGAGTGGACACCAAGCAGCTAGGTTCTATTAGATTCAGTGCAAATTCTGTCTGTTCATATCTGGGCCCTGACCACATTCTTAGCTGGCTTCCCTCCTACTCCTCCTAGTGCCCATCCTGGTGGATCTTCTGCCACATTCCTTTCTGAATCTGAAGGTTTTACTAACAAGTTCCCTTTGTGACCCTTTCCCTGCAGTCCAGCTCAAGTATCATCACCCAGCTCCATAGATGGTACCCACGATTGCACAGTGTTTCATGAGAAAGGAGAGGAGGGCTGCAGGTTCCACATACAGTGAACCAGAAATCAGGGCACATGGTGTTCCAGGTGCCAGTGCCTATAGGGCATCAAACAGATCATTGTCAACCACCTCTCGTGGAAAATTCTGGACTTATGATCTGTGATCTATAGATACAATGGTAAGGTTACAAATTTGCATCAGTTAATAAGACAGATACAAATAAAACCTTATGACATATGGTTTATAAAAATGACTAGAAGATGAGGTATGGTATGTAATTCCTCCACTCTGGGAGGGTGAGGCACGAGGATCACAAAGAAGAGCTCAGCCTTGGCAACTTGATGACTTAGTGAGACTCTGCCTACAAATAAAAAATGGCCAGGGGTGTTGTTCAATGCAAAGGCTCTGTGTTCCATCTCCTGTTCAACAATAGCAACAATAAAGACAAGAAGATTGAAAACCAGAAGGATCACACATCAGACATTTACATTATCAGACAAGGGCTGTAAAAACAGCAAACACCATGATCCTTAATTTTTCCACCCTAAGCATGCATGCTTTCCTTACCACCACGGGTTCCTTACTTCTAAAGTGAAGTTAAAGAGATCACTTTATGGTCAGTAGGAATGTCGGGATAGCAATAAACTCTAATTCAGGCCCTAACTCAATGAGTACTCCGTGATGGGCACCTCTCCTTTGGCCCTTCAAAAGGGCCAGACAGCGCCACCTCTCTTGCCCCAGCTTCTCTCCACACACTGGCACTCAGCCATCTTCTTGCCATCTGAAGGCTGACTGCAGGAGAAATGGGCGGTTGCCTGCAGTGCGTCTGGCTCCAGTAGAGGGCGCAGACAGCTCCATCTGCAAAGGCTTCCATTTGGCAGTGAAAGTGAAGCATAAACACAGCAGCATTTGCCAGGTCAGCCCACTAAAGGGAAGGGCCAGATGGCCTCAGGAGAGCAGGAGATAGCAGCTGCACTCCCATCCAGGGTCAAGGAACCTTGAAACGGCTCAGGCATTACCAACATCAGAAGTGCAAAGCCAGGACTGAGGTACAGGACCAGCTGATGGAGAGTTGTCTTGAGGGACAATTAGATAGCCCCAGACCCTCCCCTCACCATCCTCCACCCTGAAACAAGCTACCCACCTTCTCCATCCTGGCAGAAACCTGGATCTTTGCTCTTAACATGAGGTGGGTCACAGATCACAGTGCACTCCAGCACATCAGCCCAGTAGCATGGAAAGGTAGGACCAATCCTAAAAACAGTTAAAGTTTACACAGTGAGTCTCCAACTCTCTGGCTCTCTCGTCATGCCTGGGTCAGCAGTGCTGGTATCTAAGCTGTTGTCTCCTGTGGTGGACAGAATGATGGCCTCCAATGATGCCTGCATCCTAATCCCTGGAACCTGTAGTGCAGGGACTTTACAGATTGTTTTAAATGGGGAAGATTATCACAGATTATTTGTGTGAATGCAGAGTGTCACAGGCTTTGTAAGAACTGTACAAAAATCCTGTACTCCAGTTTGTACATGTATTTCTCTCAAGGCAATTCTGAGGGTATTCGAATGCTATGCTACAACTGAGCAAGCAGTCAACACACTGCGAATAATAAGAAACAGGCTTCTTTGTCAGTGTTTGACAAGGGAGTTGCAAATCAGGAAAAGGAACAAAGCCAAATGTATCTTACTTTGTTGGATTTAACTAGAGGAATACACACTGGTGCCCCGCTATATCCACTGATTCTGAATCCATACATACAACTGTGAATAAAAAACATTTAAAGAAAAATATTTCTCTATACTGAACATGTAGGCTGTTTTCGTGTATGTGTGTGTGTGCTGTGTGTGTGTGTGTGTGTGTGTGTGTGTGTGTGTGTGTGTGTGTGTATACCACGGGCTGAACCCAAAGGCCTTTGCACTAAGCTATATCCCTAGCACTTTTTATTTTTCATTTTGAAGCAGGGTCTCATTAAGTGGTCCAGACTTGGCTCAGACTTTCAATCCTCCTGCTTCAGTTTCCCAAAGTGTTGGGAGTATAGGCATGCAGCCCTGTGCTTGGGTATTATTTCTTAAATAGTACAATGTAATGACTATTTACTTAGTGTTTCTATTGTATAGGCATTGTGAGTAACCTAGAGATGATTTAAAATAGAGAAAGATGTATATAGTTAACATGCAAATTCTATACCATTTTATTAAAAGGGATTTGAGTATTCCTGGATTTGGGTATCCACAGGGACTCCTGGAAGCACCTCCCTATGGTTACCCAGGAGCAAAGGAACTGGGGTTCTTAGGAGAAATAGTTCATTCCAGGGACGAAGCAAGGAAAATTCAAAAGGAGCCTAGAATACGTTTTAATGTCAAAATAACAAAGTGCTCATGAAGTAACATCGCTATGTTGTCAGGACACCAGTTTGAAGGAAATCCAAATGGCAATATCTAGGGCAATTTAAGTCCCTCCAAAAGAAAAATCATTATACCCTATAGAATTAAAGAAACATACAGGACTCATACACAGTTCAATGTATGAGTAGGAGAAAGGGGATAGTCTTCCTTACAATAGAATTCAAATTAATAAATATATGAGAAATGATAGCAAAAGTTAGAGTTTGATTTTACCAAACTGTTAAGCCTGGCAGATGTCTAAGTGTTAACATCAACAGTGGGGAAACAGGAAGCTTCTGAGAGGGGCCACTGAGAGCCCAGTTTGTGCTTTCCCTGCCAAAAACGTGGGTGACTAACATAAGCGGAACCAGACAGATCCACAGGGAGCAGCATTCTACACACTAACAGTCCGCTGTTATTCCGTAAGTGTCAAGGTCGTGAGCAACAGAGAATAAACTTTGGCATTAACCCACAGAGGAGGGAACTGAGAACACTTGGAAGTTAAATGTAATATAGGATCTTGGAACAGAACAGAGACACTTTGGAAACAGTAGGCAAGATAATCCAAAGGTCTACAGACTGCTTAACAGTGTTATACCTTGCTTATTTCTTGGTTTTATTTTTCCTTGGATATGTAAAATGATAACACTAGGGGAAAGAACTCAATACGTTTTTTTTTAAATTTTTAATCACTTTATTTTAAAATTTAAGTAGTAATTATTGTACTGACTTTTATTAGTCCAAGCCACTCACATTGTTACTATATTGCATCACCACACTGACCTGACCTTTGTTTGCTTGTTTGCTTGAGTCTTTTTGAGACAGCGTGTCACTATGTAGTCCACGCTCTTGGTGGATCTGCCTGCCTTCCTGAGTGTTTGGATTACAGGTGTGCATCACCACACATAGTTTTGTATACTTTTTTTTTCTTTTTGTCTTTTTGCAATAAGGTCTCACTATGCAGTTCAGGCTGGCCTTCAAGTCACTTTGTAACCCAGGCTGGCCTTAAACTCACAGTGACCCTCCTGCCTCAGCCTCCAGAGGCTGGGGTTATAGGCATGAGCCACCATACTCAGCTGTATTCTCTTCTTAAAGATAGTTGGGTTTTTTAAACACCAAATATAGCTCAGATATCTTTAGCATCTTTGATGAATTTAGGAGCACGAGATTCCCTTATTTGTAAATCATATAAGTAGTGTCTAACACATTTGATAATTTATTTCTCCTTTTCTCTTTTAAAGGTTAAACCACAGCTTGAAGAAAAAACAAATGAGTCTTACGAAGAATTCATAGCCATACTGTATAAAAGTCAAGTGGTTGCTGGAATAAATTACTTCATTAAGGTGAGACTTCAACACCTACTTTAGCACTCAAAGATAGATTTCTTGTTCATTGTAACATTTCTTGTTCCCTAGGGATCATCCTCAATTAAGATGCCAGCATAACACCATGCTATTAACAGGCTCTCAGATTTGGCAGAGGATCTTATATCATTCTTGTGAATTCAAAAAGCTTTCTTATATGGATTCTTAACTTCTCATTTCTGGAAATCATACAGAAAAGGACTTCATAACAGTTTAGGGTGAAAATGGCTCCCCAGTATGCTCATGTGATTGCCTGACTTGTTTCCCCATTGAAAATATGGAAAGTATTTTCTTCCTTTAGGATTAGGTCAGCACATCACTTAATTTTTTATATAACTTTAAGATTGATTTAAAAATATTTTATGTTTCCGATTTACTTAGTATGGTTTTCAAGATTGAATGCATGACCTTTGCACTGACCTGTATTGGTAACTTTTTGTTTTTATTTTTTCTTGTCAGGCAAGATCTCATTAAATTGCCCAGACTGGAATCAAATTTTTGATCCTCCTACCTCAACCTTCCAGAGTGCTAAATTACAGGTGTGAGTCACCACATCTATAACTTTTACATGTAAATACCCCACAGCTTTCAATTGTACTTACAATGTTGAAAGCTGAATCTACTTTAGTTACAAAAAGTTATTTAAATTATATACAATTTTATTTTTATTAGTACATTTGCAGTATATTTAAATTATACCAATCAAAACACTTAACAGGCAAAAATTATTAAAATTCTTTTCACAACACATTATTTAGGTCATTCAGTAATTCCATTCAATATAGACACACAGAATCATAAAGCTTTGGAATAATTTACTTCACCAAACCATATATCCTCCTCTTCCTCTCCCAAACTTCCTTCCCTTTCTCCTTCCTCACTTCCTCTTTGCCTGTCTCCTTCTCCCCTGCTACAACTCCAGCATTCCAGCCTCTGCCCCCAGGTCCCTCCTCATCTCCTGGCAGCCTGGTTGTAGGCTCCTTTGCTCTGGGCTGCTCTCTGGGTTGAAGGTCTCACTAGTGAGCTGATGTCTCTGTGCATCTTGGGTACCGATCAAGAGGCAGTGTGGGACAGGACTGAAGGCTGTGGTCTCAGAGCCTCCAGGTTTGACCTTGGCTGGACTTGTTCTACTAGTCCTGACTGAAAGCAGTGTGAACAGAGAGTTCCTCCTCTGAGCTTACTCCTCTGACCTGCAAAATGGGGGTGAAACCCTGAGTCAGGCACAGTGCTAAGAGCTGGGCATGTCTTCTCTCAGGTAATGTTCACCAACAAGCAGTGTGATGAGAATAAGCTAGTGCTGTTGTGAGGCTGATGAGAAAAGTTGGAACTGGGAAGGTGAATTAACTAACAAAGGTCACGTAAGAAGAACACAGTCAGGATTTGGGGACAGAGCATCATTGTGCTGCCTGTAGTCAGGTTTGCCAGGGTTGAAGCCTGCCCTGTGAACCAAATAAATACAAACAAATGAACAAATAAATGTAGCAAACAGTTTCCCAATTTGGAAGTCAGAAAACAGAATCACCAAAATATAGAGGCTACCAACTTGACTCTGTTCCATGCATCTTTGAAACAAATGCATCTCGGGACTGTCATTTGTGCCCAAATTATAATTTTAAAAGTGCAACACGTAAACCTAGATGTGTGCTTCTTGCCGTGGCTTTCACTTCGTAGCTTTCTTGTATAAATAAGACTGTGGCGGGCTCATGGAAGCTGGTCGAGGATTGCTGCCCTAGAACTGGAATTGCCATTCCAGAAAGCCCAATGGCAGGGAAGGCGTCACAGGTCTGTAGACCTCTCACACGGTGCAGATCCAGATGAATAAACCAGCTTGTTCTTTTTCTCTTTGCAGATTCAGATAGGTGGCCAGGTCTGTGTTCATATAAAAGTGTTCAAACCTCTTCCTGGACAAAATGAAGATGCTCTGCAGCTTTCTGGTTACCAGACTGGCAAAAGCAAGGACGATGATCTGACTTACTTTTAGAGACTTGTTCCAAAGTGGTCTGATTCTCTGCACTGGGCACAGATGAATGATCCTTGTTAGTGAATGTGACCATCAATAAAGAGACATTCCTTTGCAAATGAATTTCCATTTTTATGCATGTGTTTTATTATACAGAAATGGATTTCACTCTCTCAAAATTAGAATTAGTGTTTCAGAGCAGAAATTGCACATAAATTAATATTAATGCGAAATCTTAGCTCCCTCAATGCGTAGCATGCAGCTGAGGCCTTGGGCCTTCAGTTAGTCAACCCCCTATTTCCTGTGATTTCTCAGAACACAAGATTCCCTCTCCACCCTCATATTTTAAGATTAAATCAGATATTTTACAACATATATTTTTATTTTGAAACAATCTTTAAAAAATGCAAAAAAAAAAAAAAAAAAAGGTGGGCATGGTGGCACATGCCTATAATCCCAGCACTCAGGAAGCTGAGGCCGGAGGATTATTGCAAGTTTGAGCCCAGCCTGGGTTACAAAGTGAACTCAAGGCCAGCCTGAACTGCATATCAAGACTCTATATCAAAAACCTTAGCCAAAAAATAATGTAAAACATTTTTCATAGATGGTTAAGACTTTGCTACGTATAGTACTTCCCTGTCCCCAGTAAATGCTAGCATTCCCTACTACAAATACCAGAGTACTTTTCCCATGCTAAGGACTTTCTGTTGCTGAAACATACACTTCGAAATCAGGAAATCACTGATGCCTGCTAGCTCTAGTGTCCAGATGCCATTCACATTTCCCCAGTCATCCCAATAATACTCTGCATTGCCAAAGATCCAGTCTAAAACCATGCATTCCATTCATTGTAATTTCTTTTTTAACAGTTTTGCTGACATACTTTATATAACATTCAATTAATGTACTTAAAGTATATAATCCAATGGTTTTTAGTATATTTACAGGTATGTGCCAACCACCATATCAATTATAGAATATTTTCATCATCTCAAAATGAAATCCCATACTAACACCTCTCCGTCCTCCTCCACTTCACCTCCCGATACAGTTACAATGCATCCTCTACATCTAAATTTGCCTATTCTAGGCCATTTATATATACAACATATAATTTATATACATGAGATCACATGGTATATGACATTTTATAATTTGCTTCTTTCACTTAGTAAAAAGTGTTCAGTGCTCATAGTGTAGCATGTATCCCTATTTTTACTTTTTATATTTAATAGAATAGCGTCTTGGTTATTTTCTCCTCTCTGGGACAAAATACTCAATACTCACAAGTTAGAAAGGAAAGGTTCATTTCAGCTCCCAGGTTGTAGAAGTTTCAGTCCATAGCTGGGTGGCCCCAAGGCTGGGTGCCATGGCAGAGGGGCCTGGAGAAATAGTTCATAGCATGGCAGGCAGAAAGCTCTGAGACTTTCTCCCACCTGCCCCCTTTTTTCTGTGCTGCTGGGGATAAAACCCAGAGTCCTATGCATGCAAGACAAGAGCTCTACCACTGAGCCACGTCTCCATCCCCTTCTTTCCCTTTTTATTTCACCTAGGTTACAATAGGTTTTTGGTGCCTACACCCAGGATGGTCTTCTCTCTTCAGTCAGTCCATCACTCCCATCCAGAACTATGCTAAACCAATCAGTAGACTCATCCAGTATCACCCAGGCACTTCTAAAGCCTCACCTATGATTGCATGAGGCTGTGGAGGGGATGACTAGATATAAATCATAACAAATAGTTTACATTTTATTCTACAAATATATTAGTGAATAAGTTTCATAATGTTTTCATATTTTATAATGTTTTATATTTTGAGAAATTATAGTTATATATATTTAGTGGTTACAAAATGATGCTATGATCTTCTTTTTTTTTTTTTTAATCGGTACGGGGGATCGAACTCAAAACTGCCTGCTTGCAAGGCAGGTTCTTATGCCACTGAGCTAAATCCCCCGCCTGATGCTATGATCTTTAAGTACAATGAGAGATGATTAAATCTAAACCATCAATCACCTCAAAATATTTTTGTGATGAAAACACCTGAGATTTACTCTTTTAGTGATATTAAAGTCTATAGTACTCAATTATGAGCCATTTTCACCATGTTCTACAATAGATTTGTTTTTAAACACGTTAATGGTTACTATAGTTTTTTAGTAGTTAATCTATACTTTAAAAACTATTGTTATTACTAACTATATGACTTCAGCCAGGATGTCATACATGTTACAAACATTTTTTTTCTCCCCTGTATGATAACACTGCAATTGGTTGGGGTCATAATCATCACCACGGCCCTGGACTGGGAGGTGAGCTAAATAGTAATTTTGCATTCTTTATGAATTGGGAAGGTAAATTCTTGGGATAGCTATAAAGAACCACCTACATCTACAAAATATTCTAAAGAACAGACATCTTCTAGGGAAGCCTCGATACCAGAGACAAAGTATAAATCATAAGGAATTGGCAGGCATCGACATAAAAAACAAAATAAAATGAAAATAGAACATGACAGGATGCAGAAGCAAAATACAACTTCAGACCACCCCCCCAGCCCACCGAGGACTTCATGAGATAAATAGAATTCAATGAGATAAATGAAACTGGAAGTCAAACTCTGGGACTTTTTGAAATGATAGCAACAGAAGTGACAAAACAAGTGGAAAAACCTTAGAAAAAATAATCTCGTGGGTAAAAAAAAAAACATGCTTAAAATTTAAAATCAAAGATATTAGAGAAGACACAGATAACAGAACTGATAAGCTTAGAAAAATGATAGAAACAAAAAATGTCCAACATAGGAAAGAAAAGGAATCCATGAAACAGATCCAAACAGAAATCAAAAAAATTAAAACCTCCATTGAAAGTATATGTAAGGGCCAGTGATATAGCTTAGCAGCATAAGCAACTGCCTGGTAAGCTCAATTCCTGATACCAAAAAAGAAAAAGAAAAGAAAGAAATAGAAAGTATATGAGAACTGGGCATGTTGGCACATGCCTATAATCCCAGCACTCAGGAGGCTGAGGCAGGTTTGAGACCAGCCTGGTCTACAAAGTGAGCTCAGGGCCAGCCTGCACTGCATAGCGAGATCCTGTCTCAAAAAAAAGACAACAACAAAAAAAGTATACATCCTGTCTCAAAAAAAAGACAACAACAAAAAAAGTATACATCCTGTCTCAAAAAAAAGACAACAACAAAAAAAGTATATGCAACAGATTGAACTCAGCTATAAAGGATAAACTTGAGACATTTATAAGAAAATGGATGCAACTTGAGTCCATACTCATAAGTGAAATAAATCAAACTCACATGTGTATACATCATACTGTCTCCCTAGAAAAAGAAGCTGAAAGAGTAAATAAGATCCAAAATGTACAATAGATAATGTGAAATGGGAAGAAACTGTTCAAAAGGAAACAAAAACTGGTATGGGGGAAAGGAGAAAGAGAAAGGGAAAAGGAAATATACATGGTAGTTATACTATCAATTGCCAGTAGTTTGTTAAAAAGCAAGGTTTGTGCCCATATTATTTGATCATGCCTACATTTTGTAATATGAGCAACTACTTCGAAGATAACAATATACAATACTACAATCTTGTTTTGAAATTTTGTATCATTGTTTTTATTGTTTTTTTTTTTTCTCTTAAAAAATTTACTGGGCATGGTGGTACATGCCTGGAATCCTAGCACTTGAGAGGTTGAGGCAAGAGAATCTCATTTGGGACCAGCCGGGGCTACATAGTGAGACTGTCTAAAAAAAAAAAATGCATTCTTAATCCTATGAAACTGAGGCCTTATAATCTTTGATCATTATATTTCCATTCCTACCAGCCCCCCATCCTAAGTAATTATTATTCTTAAAAACTCTGAAACTGTGGTATTGATTGGCAACAAAAGTGTACATAACAGATCCACCTGAAAAATATGTCACACAGAAACAAGTATTGCTGCCGTGCTGTGTCAGCAGAGTCATCCACCTGGACTGTGTACTACAGTGACTCATGAAGCCTCTGCTGTTTCATCAGTTCACTAGCTATGCTAGTCAGTGGAGGAATGGGTGCCACCTTTGAATGGCAGCCTCTCCTAAAAGTTCTAATGTCCTTGCAGTAGGCCCAATCAGCATTTTCACTGATAGTACGGGCTTCTTAGCTTTAAAAATGTGGTTAATGGTGGGTCAGTGCAGACACATATGATGGAGTTGTGTCCTTCAACAATTGCATGCTTGTTTTCATGTTTTTGTTTTTTGTTTTGCTTTGTTTTTTAACTCCAAATCCTTGTCTTCCAATGCAGGGTGCTTGGTCTCCATGTAGCGAAGCCATTTGGAATGTTTCATGGGTTTGTTGGACAGTTGGTCACTCATATTATACAAAGCAAGCTTGGCAATTTTCAATCAACTGTTCAGTGAACCCATAATTTAAGTAGAACTCAAGTATTTCCTTTTAAATGAAACCCTCTTTTTGTGGGCAGTCTTAAGAGTCCTGTTGTCTCAACGTTGGGTCTTTCTCCATTTTTAACGGTTTACCTTGAGCATCACTTTGGCAGCACATTTGTTTATATACCATCTTAAGCATCACTCAGGTCAGTTTCATTTCAACCAGTCAATTCCCATATCAAATAAAGTTCAGAAAATTGTATCTTTTATACTTTGTTGTATTATTGTATAAAAAATAATGAAAAATATGGAAGTTTTGGTTGTCCTGTATTTAAATAATTGGGCAGTTAAGCAGGTAAAAAAAAAATCTCTCCGATGACATTTGTGTTATTCACTTTAGCAATGGTTAGCTGGTGGGCTTCTCAAAACTGCCTGGACAAGTGTGTAGTAGTGGAAAGAAGTGTACATGAAAGTGGAATAAAATGATGGGGACCACGTGTGGACGAAAGGGTTGGACCCTGACTTAGAGCCTCCTATCAGATACAGCTGTTTACCTGAAGTGACTCAGTTCACTTACCACAGTAAAGCCTGCCCCCAGATGCAGCTTGGCACTTGTCACTTGCTGGCAGGGTCTATAAATCTGCAAAGAGTTGAGGTATTACAGTCTCTGGGCAGTGAGACCTCTCTGCTAATGTTAATGTGTATTTGTAGCTGCTTTCCAGTGCTCTCATCACTGCCACAGTCC